GGAGAGATGGGCTGACTCACTCTTTCTCCTTGGATCATGGGAGAAGCTGAGTGAAACTCTGTCCTCTCAGGAATATCATAGAATTGTAGAATGGTTTGGGTTGGAAGGGACCTTAAAGATCACCTAGTTCCAACCCCACTGCATGGGCAGGGACACCTCCTAGTAGATCAGGTTGCTCCAAGCTCCATCCAACTTGGCCTTGAACACTTCCAGGGGTGAGCCAGCCACAGCTTCTCTGGGCAACCTGTGCCAGTGTCTCACCACCCGCACACTAAGTAACTTCCTCCTAATGTCTAGCCTAAATCTCCCCTCTTCCAATTTTGATCCATCAGTTAGGTTCAAACACAGGAGGACTGAAATGGGGACAGAGTGACTTCACTGAGGCTGCCCATGGTGCTTATGCAGGCAAGAAGCATCAGGAGGATCTATCATGATCCTGTGTGTGACTGTAGCTGCTCAGCAGAAAAATCAGCCTTGGGATGACCAGCCCTACAGTGTTCTCTGGGATAAATGGAGAACACCCCTACTTGAAAAGACAAGCAAGAGAAGGGAAGAGGAGGTATTCTTGGAGGCCAACAAGAGGAACCAAAACTTTCTTAGAACACTTGTGTTTAGCACACAGAGAAGGGGGAAAAAAACAAGTAACTGGGAATAGAAACTCAATTGGCAATTTTAAATATAGAAAAAATTGTTTCATAAAAAGGGAGCCTTGGAGTGGAAGTGTGAAGGAAGGCAGAGCACCAAAGCCAAAATAAAGCAAGGCAGTGAGTTAACCACTGCACAGGTGCATGCTGGAAGGATAATATTCTGACAGAAAGAGCATATTGTCCAGGAAATCAAAAGCCTGTGGATGTCCCCTCCCTTGAAGGTGTTCAAGGCCTGGTTGGACAGGGCTTTTTGCAACCTGGTCCAGTGGAAGGTGTCCCTGCCCTTGCAGAGGGGGTTGGAACTAGATGATGATCTAGGTCCCTTCCAACCCAAACCCAAATTCTATGATTCTATGATTTGGATGCTGGTCCCATGCAGAGATGAACAGGTAACTAGTAAAGGGAACAGCAATTTATGCTCATCTGGAGACACTATGCTAACCCAGAAAATGTTTTGTTGGGAAACAAAAACAAAATATACAAAAATAGGAATTCTTTCCCCAAAAGCCTTCTTCCAGATAGTTTTGAAACAGAAGTACTTACGTCACAAATTTGTTCTTCAGTATTTGTTCCAACCTGTCCTTGGTCAAAACAAGAAAAAAAAAAAAAGAATGTAAAGCTACTCTTAAAAGTTCAGGGACTCAGAAAAGCTACCTCCCTCCAAGTTTTCATTTGAAGGTCTGCATTGTGCTCTAGATAGAATCACAGAACCATTTAGATTGGAAAAGACCCTTAAGACCCTTAAGATCATCAAGTCAAACTGTTAGTCCACCACTAAACCATGTCCCTAAACACTGTTTTTTAAACACCTCCAGGGATGGAGGTGTCCACGTCCTTAGGCAGCCTATTCTGGTGCCTGACAACCCTTTCAGTGAAGAACTTTTTCCTAACATCCAAACTAAACCTCCACTGGCACAACTTGGGGTAATTTCCTCTTGTCCTATCACTTGTTACTTGGCAGAAGAGACTGACCTCTCCCTTGCTCCAACCACCTTTCAGGGAGTTGTGGGGAGTGAGAAGGTCTCCCATCAACCTCCTTTTCTCCAGGCCAAACAACCCCAGTTCCCTTAGCTTGAAAACTTGTGCTCCAGACCCTTCACCAGCTTGGTTTCTCTTCCCTGGACACACTCCAGCTTCTCAATGTTCTTCTTGTCGTGAGGGGCTCCAAACTGACCCCAGGACTTGGGGTGCAGCCTCACCAGTGTTGACCACAGGGGATTAGTATCTGCCCTGGTCCTGTTGTTCACACTATTCCTGATACAAGCCAGGATGCCATTGGCTTTCTTGGCCACCTAGGCACACTGCTGGCTCATGTTTAGCTGCTATCAATGAGCACCCCCAGGTCCTTTTCCTCTAGGCAACTCTCCAGCCACTCTTCCCCTAGCCTGTAGCATTTTGTTGTGGCCCAAATGCAGGACCCAGCACTTGGCCTGTTGAACCTCACATGATTGGCCTCGGCCCATTGATCCAGCCTGTCCAGATCACTCTGCAGAGATATGGAATAAAATCCACTCCTCGTCTTTCAGTCCTAAAAAGGTACCTGATCTTTGGAGCTGAGGATACAGAGGCTGCTAGATAGTATGACAGCTACAGTTCTACCACACTTGCTGCAGAAAGTTGTGTGTCCTCTCTGTTTTGGCCTGAACAACCACTCAAGCTCAGGCTGCCTGTTGGCTATTCACAGGAGCCCCCAAGATGCATAAAAGAACTGTAATTCTTTCCTGTCAAATTTATTACCTTCTGGGCAGGAGCTATGTATTTATGAAAAAGCTCAACATCACGAGGACATCTGGAGAGCACAGTATTTGTCGCTGTCTTGAAAAGATCTTCCATAACCTAAGAGAGAAAACAGAAGTCTGTGAAAAATTATGTCCCAGACTATAAATAAAACACAGCACATATCATCCAAGGCATACAGAAGGAGCTTGTGCCCTTCTGCATGGTAAAACTGCCTAAGAGGGTACCAGCTCGTTAAGGCTCCTAATTAGCAGGCGTGATCAGCAGCTGAAGTGAAATGGAATCTGTGTTTCTCTTCTGGGTTTAGAGCTTCACTGCCTGCTGATGGCCTCAGTGACTTCAGTCAGGTATCTCCAGTGAAAAAAAACACAGCTACCATATTCAAGCAGCAGCCCTGGTCAGCCACAAACACACACAATACAACCATTTGTGGTGACTGGTCTCAGATTAATTACTGGTGAGAAACTTCTCCTGCAATGAGCAATTCAGGTTTTCTGCTTTGTTGATACAAGAGGCAAAACTAAAGGAGAAGAGAATAAAAGTCCACTGAGTAGAGCCAGCCCATCAAACTGATTCCAGCTAGAGAGACTCTGCACAGTAAGAGCAAAGCAAAGAGAAAATGTACAGAGACAAGGAGAGAGCTGAAGTGGAGGACACATCAATGCAGGGATGTTTGAGAAACCAAAAACAGATGTGGTTTCATTTCCCTAAACTAATGTGGATTAGCTAAATGACATTAACATCCAATTTGGATACACTTATCCAGTAAAATGGGCTTCACCCAAGAAGAAATTAAAATGCTATTTTGGTTCTAAAAAAACTCAAACCCAGCAAACACCACCCACATGGGATGCCACTGCATTTTGATGAACCTGTTTTAAAAGTAATTTTCTTTTTGCTAAGCAGACCATCCAAGACATTTGCTGTCGTGCAGATTAAGGGTTCCCATGACTCCTCGTAGTCCCATGCCTGCACAAAGCAGGTAGTCAATACCGTGTAGTACTGACAGCCTCAACTCTTCACAATCACCCTCCTTATCCTCACCTCCTTTGCATGCAACAGGGCAATGCAGCTGGGGCTGAATGTCATCTCAGCCTGGGATGGGACCAGAGTTTTCCCAACAAAAAACACCTCTTGAAGTCTTGGCACATTCCTGCCTTTTTTTTTCTTTCTCTACAAGCATAACAACTGCTTCATTAACTGCAGTGTTGAGAGAAGTACCCACCAACACCACCACAGCAAACAGCAGTCCCTTGACACCCCAAAGCCCAGGGGAGACCAACTGTGAAAAGACTGATGTTCAGTCAGCAAATCTGAGGAAGAAGCAGGTTGCTGCCAGACCTCACAGGGCAAGAGGACCTAAAGGCACAGAAAAGAAGAAGCTGGGCTGCTGAAACGGACAAGATGAGACTTCAGGCATGTTGTTTCAACTCTGATCTTTAGAAGAACATTCTTCACCACCTGTTCCAAACTGCTGCAACACTGCTCTGTGCCTATCAACAATGTCTGCATCCCACCAGCCCGGAGAAGCTGGTAAATCAGCCTGTTTCAACTCCTCTGGAGCCAAACTCAACCTTCAGACTCCTGTATCAATTTGAGCCCTGTTTACAAAGGGAAGATCCAAATAAAGGAGCAGCATTATCATATGTAGATGAACAGTTTTAGTCCTCCTGGTACTCAAACAGAGAAAATGAAAAGCTAGTATTCCTGCT